TGAGAACCATGTTCGATGCATCGATCTGTCAATGAGAACGTGGATGATCGATTATTAGGAGATATAATCGTCTCTTGTTACAAAACTGTAGCCAGTTGGCACCCATATGTATTCTAAAATATTACTACTACCGCAGACTGGTATGGATCCTGCACACAACAATATCAGGGCAATGTTTAGGTTCATACCTACCTACTATTTTACAGTCTTTACCTTACTATATAATGCACCTTGGGGCAACTGTTGTTGTGATTTTGCGCTATATCAATAAAATTGAATTGAAAATGCCATTGCTTTCTGCAAGATTTCAAACATAAATTGAGTTACAGCTCCTTAGTGCATGCAAAGGCAACATGGATCTACTATGATACATGTAAAGTTTTAGGCGTTAACGGGATCAAGGTTGGGAGCATCCGCTTCTCAGTACCGAGTGCAACGTACCAAAAGAGAAAAAAAACAGCCTTCAATTCAGTTCATTTTATTGCCTAGAGCTGCTTTATATTGTAAAGTAAAGACCTTAAAACGATACAGAAAAAAACGAACAATGAGACAACCCCCTGTGAGCAAGCACTTTGGCGACAGAGGGAGGGAAAAACTACTTTTTAGCAGGAAGCCATGACTAGCTGTTCCCGAGGGGAGGGTCCACTTCCACAGAAATCATACTGTGGAAGAGAGGCAAATATTAATAATAACTAATTAAATGCATAATGGTGTATAAACACAGAGGGAAAAAAATGAGTGAAGTAGAAACACCCAGTGCATCATGGGAAGTCCAATGCAGCCTAGGCCTATTGCAGTGTAACTAAAGGTTTTGTGGTCACCTGATCCAGTTCTAACTAAAAAGCTAGTTCCTTGTGACGTCTGCGTGGTGCTTATCAGACAGTTGCCAAGATTAATATGGATTTATTTTAATGTTAGTAGCATTTTTAATGTTACCTGTAACGATAGACTGTGTGTAGAGACGGTTGCGATGATGTGTGAAAGGTGTCCAGTGCTGCTGGCAAATACTTTGAAAACTAATAGTTAAAAACACAGGATGTCCTGTTCAGTTCCTATCTGAGCGGCCTACGGCACTTATTCTCAACCTTGCATGGTTTTTACTTTGCAGCTCACCACTTAAATTAACATACAGACGCGAGGGAAAAGAAGCAGCAAGAGGGAAACAGATTGTGGAAAGTAGTAAGAGGAGAGGATACTTTTGGAAAAGAGTGAGGGGATATGGGTGAAGGGGTGAAATGAGCTTTTGAAAGACGTTTTTGAATGTGCCGTGCCAAAACATCCATGCAAGGAAACAGCCTCGTTTTGGGAGTGCACGCAAAGCCACAAACCGAAGTTGTGTCGCTCACACAGGCTGGTGTTTGAGGCCTTGCGCTGCCGTGTTATTCTAACCCTGCCGGTCTCAGTGCGTGGACTGTGCTGTTGAGTTATGGGTGTCTACCGTGTACACGTGTGTGTTTCGGTGTAAACAGGAACTTAATTCTTCATTTCCTGCTCATATCCTGGTCCTGCCACAGCCTGGCTTTGTGTATGTGCTGTATTATTTACATTCTGTGTTTTTGCTTTTCTTGTCACCAGCAACAGTGGTGCCTTTAAAATACATCTTTCAAACAGTATTTTTTCATAGATATGTCACATGTAGTGCCATACAGTATGTTTCTGTGTGGCTGAACTCCAATGGAAGTTGTAAAAAAGCATGAGAGGAGGTAAATAACTCTGATGTTTTTGTGACAGAAGAAGCCAACGACTTTAGTGCCAGCGTAGACGCAGAGGAGAAAGAGGTAGAAGCCACTGCTGAGGAGGAGGAAGAGGAAGAACGGAAAGATGTGGAAATAGAGGAGGAAGTGACAGCAGAAGGGGAAGAGGAAGAAGTTGAGGAACAGGCAGAGGAACCAGAGAAGGAGAGAGAGGAGGCAGAGGAGGACAGTGGTATCCTGAGCGACAAGGAACGGCAGAATGAGGAAGTAAACGAGAAGGACAACTGCTCAGCCTCCAGCATCTCCTCCGCCAGCAGCACTCTGGAAAGAGAGGAGAGGGGCAGCAATGAGAGCGGTGGGTTTTAATTAATTAATCAATTTTTATGATTTAGATTTGGTTTCAAGAACCTGCATTTATGATTCATTTCACTCTAATGAAACTATAAAGTCACTGGGTGTGAGCTGCAGTGTGCGTTTTGTTCCTTTCCGTCTTTAACCACATCGCCCTCTTTCCAGGCTTTAAGGAGGCAGAGGTGAATGAGAACTGCAACAAACTCCTCAACAGCAAACTCTTTATGCTCGACATGCTGTACTCCCAGAACAAGAAGCCCAGCGATGAGGAGGAAGAGGAAGATGTGGACAAGGAGAAGGAGGAAGGGGAAGGGGAGGACAAAGAGGCTCAGGAGGATGCAAACAGGCAACCTGGGGAAGACCAAGAGAAGAACAGCAGGGACGAGAAGTCGGACCATCGCGGCAGCATCCGACCGATCGCCGAGCGGTTCGGAGACTTGATCAAGGACATCAGCACGGCTCACGCTCACTTGGACAGCCCAGCCAACGAGCCCCCTCCTCCCCCGCCCAAAAAGGAATCGGACACGATCTGGGACCAGCTGCTGGCCAGCCCTCGAGAGCTGCGCATCGGGGACATCAACTTCACCGACCTGACAGAGGAAGACGACAAGGACATCCTCGATGCCGTTTTGATGGGGGGCTGCGGCGAGCTCCCGCCCCTGCCCCCACCTCCGCCCTGCATCCCCCGCTTCCCTCCACCCCCACCCATGTTGGGCAGTTGCCCTCCGCCCCCACCCTTATTTGGCAGCATGAGGCCTCCACCTCCTCCTTCATTTAACGCCCTAATTCCAGTGCCTCCTCCCCCAGAGCCGCCTCTCTTTAACAAAAAGAAGAAGACGATCAGACTCTTCTGGAGTGAGGTGAGAAAAAAAACACACACGTTTTAATTTCATTGCGTTATTGATAAAGTTTTGTTGGGATGGTGTGTAAAACATTGAGAAAAAGTACCGTGGAAATGTCTTTGGACATTGGCTGCTTTAAGAACCACCTTCAGATCAGCCCTTGTACCTGGCAGTGAAAGATGGTGTTTTAATTCCAGTTGGAGGCACAAATCACCTCATCAGAAATGCTGTGAACAAGCCATTCTTAAGGAAGGGAACGATGGAGAAATGGCTGAGGGGAGTCAAATTACACAAGAACTGGATGGAAAATTGGTGGCAGCAGATCTTACGGAGTGATTAAAATAAATTTTGCTTCAAAGCTTAATCAACATGTACACAGGAGAGAGAGGAGGTCAGGAGAGAGATGCAGCAGTGACTGTCTACTGTTATGGTTTAGGCTGTGTTTCAGTCAGTAGTGTTGAGTGGGCATCTTGTCCGAAATGATGGAATTATGAATGCAGAAAGGTACCAACAGATACAGTGTAATAAAATATCACCTGGAAAGCATCTGATTGGCTTCATTTTGCAGCGTGACAGCTGTCTAAAACACACTGTCAGTGCAGCAAAAGCATACCTAGATAGGAAAACACACAAAGGAACAATCAGTCATGGATTGGACTCCCCAGAGCTCAGACCTCAACATTATCGAGGCAGCGTGGAATCATCCTGACAGAGAACAGGATAAAAGACCGTCAATATCCAAAGAAGAGCGTTGAAAGTCCTTTAAGAAGCCCGGAGAACTATTCCTGAAGCCTGAAAGGAAAATACAGGAAAGTTTACCTAAAAGTGTTCAGGCAGAATAAAGGTGGTCGTACTGAATACGGACTTTGAAGCTTGTTATAATTGTACTTACTCTTTTTTTTTTACCTTTTTATACTATATTTCCAAGTGTGTTTGCTGACGTTGAAACAAATTGCTGTGCATATTTCCCTATTTCTATATATTTGCTAGCAAAATGAGGGGCGGGTGAAGACTTTTGCACAGCATTATAGTATGCTATAATTCGCACATCATTTAAATCCCTTATTCAACCAACAATCACATCAAATACAGGCAACAGGACATTGTTATTACATTTTGAAAAATATATTCCTACTGTGCTACACATTGTAAGCATTCAGGACCTAAGGTGTCCAGTCCTAGAGTATGTGTTAGTTTGTCTGGAAGTCTTTCGAGTGTTTTCTATTTCTTGCACAGTAGATTTATAACTTGGATCCGTCTGTGCAACAGTGAAGTATAATCACTTTCAGTGGTGATTTTTAATACTGCCCGAGGGCCTAAATAATTTAAGCATTTAAGATTTATTCGACTATGTCCGTATTCTCTATTGCAGAAGATGCTATGGGCCAAAATACCAAGTTGATTTTTTTTTTTTTAAACTGCATGTTTCCATTAGCCAGTTAAGATGAAACAGTCACCAGAAACAATGACTCACTCAACATGTTCCTTTGGCCGCTGGTATTTTTGGTTCGTTGAGTTCAGAGTCTCTCATTTACCTCTTTTATTGTAGGAAGTGGGAGTCTGACACATGTCTCCATCTGATGCACTCAATGCTTGTTTTGTTTGCGATCAGGTGCGTCCGACAGACTGTCAGTACAGGGACTACAAGAGGAGTGGAGAGTCATTCTGGTCCAAACTGGAACCGGTGAAGTTGGACACAGCCAAACTGGAACACCTGTTTGAGACAAAGTCAAAGGAAATACCAGTTACAAAGGTATGTAAACTGTACGATACTGACTCCAAAAACTAGTTCTAGCAGCATCTAAGAGAAGTGCTGCGAGATTATCCATTTAATAACAATAATTAGAACTAGTTCAAAATTTGCTTTTTATAGAAATTATCAAATCTTTGTCAAGCAGTTAAAAGTTTTTGTCCATTATTTTTTTACTTTGAAGGCAGATTTTTCACAGGTTAAACAAGGTCATGTGTGTCTTGATCCTGATCAAATGGTGCAGTTCTGGATCGGTTGTAATTCTCACAAAGGTTCAAAATAAGAAAAATATGATCTGCAAAGAAGGGAAGATAAAGCCAGGCCTCTCGCACTTTGAACTCCTGATCCAGTGCTACCACACACACACAACCC